CTTTTAGTTGCAGATGTCCTGTATATTATCTCAGTGACAAGAATGACTAATACAATTGCAAACTGTGATTATTCTTTAAATTGAATAAAATGTTAGCTTCAAATTAGTCTTAAAATATGAATGACCTGAAGAATAAATATATGCATAGCTTTGATTATGGGCTGTATTCTGCATGAGTTTGTTATTTTGAAACATATCTTGAAGGGGAAAATAATTAAGTCCAATGGACCAGGCCAAAAGTAATGAGACTAATATTTTTATATGGATGTAAGATCTTAAATGTTTACCCAAGAATTATTTACCATCTAAGAAGCCATCTTTAGAAGTTTATTAATAACATTTGCTTAAAATATATTTGGAGGTCTTTTATAATAGTTTTTTTCAAGTCACACAAGCATGAATCTTATTCTACAAAGTCCCCTACTTATGAACATTCAAGTCTCAAACTTTCACAGATATGAACATACCTCACATTATGAACATTCATAGATGTGAACATGTCGCGGACGTAGCCCACATGTCTGCAGGACATTGTCACAGTTGTACTGTTGGGTGCTTACTGTACAGTGTGATAGTATACAGTGGTATAGTGCTCAGTCAGAGCTCAGGATGTCTGGAAGTAAGAGGAAAAGCAGTGGTGATGTGGAGGGGACCACTGGGAAGTACAAAGCAATAACCATGAAAACAAAAGTGAAAATAATGGAGAGATTGGACTGTGGAGAAAAGATGGTAGACATTGCTTGTTCTTATATTGTATATGCCAGTTGTTGTACTGTATTGTACCACTATTTTAAGGTAACTGTAAAAGTAAAAGTAGTTTATTTACAGGTGTGTGTGTGTGTGTGTTTTGTTTTTCATGCTTTACACTGTGTATTTGTGTCAAAGGTATGTAAGACTCACTTTGTTAGACTTATGAGCCAATACTGCTTAAGAAAATTCTCCCAGAATGGAACTCACTCATAAGTTGGGGACTTACAGTATATTATTTTTGAACAAAGTGATATTAATCAACTAGTTCGATAGTCTTATCCAAAGGATTCAGCACTGAAAACATTTTATTTCCAAAAGTTATACCTTCTTCTCAACCATAAAGATTTTCCATGATTGGAAATGCACAAACAATTGTGCTACTATTCTGTGAAGTTCAAATATTTAGGACAGTGGTGGCAATGTTGCCATACAAGTACTGTATTCTTTTTGAAGAGGGCAGTGCGTATTTGGATATAAAACTTTTGATAAACTTGCTAAAATTTATAATGTAACTGTGAGATCATGTGTTCTTAGAATTTAATGTAAGTTAATTTATGCCAAGTTTGCTGATTTTAGTAGACTATGTCACGCTTCTTTAAAATTCCAGATTTGGGGCTGGCGATGTAGCTCAGTGGCACCGTGCTTGCCTCAAAAGCGTAAGGTCCTGAGTTTGATCCCTGGTACCAAAAAAAAAAAAAAAATTCCAGGTTTGAACCTGGGGGGCGGGGAGGGGTCAGGCCAGCCCTCACCTTTATTTCCATACCTCAGTCTTTGTCTGCATTTTTGAAATTCTTCCATGTACTTAAAGACAGAGGTGATATTATTTACGTGTTTAGGAGTGAGGTTGTAGAGAAAAAAATCATAGCTAATATGAACAATTAAGTCTGCTATTATGTATATGTAGGTATGGAGTGCCAAAAATACTATAGTAGTGGTAATTTGAATGTTGTGTTACAATCACATCAATGCCAGGATACAATAAGTTTGTCAGGTTTATGAAAAACAAAGAGAAGACTTATATATTGTATCTCTTAGGACTTACTCCAGATTGCAAACTGCAGAGTATTAACTTTAACCTGGGTTATACCAAAATGCTATCTGTTTGACCACATTAATAGAATGATCTAGGATTTCTGCTTTTTCATCGTGGCCTAAATAAAGTGGCCAAAACCTTGTTTTCCATCTATTGGCTCCGCTTTCCTCTGGGCCTTAGCTTCTCCAAATTCATGTGGAGGGAAGATGGCAGTAGCATTTCTGTACAACCTGATTCAAAGTTCAGGTCACATCTGGGAAGAGTCCTTGGGCTATTTCAAAAGTTCCAGCAATAGACTATTTAGCTTACATTGGCTCATGTGCAGGTCCCAGTCACTCTGAGAGCAATGAGCTTCACCAATTGTTTTAGGCCAATTAGGATCTATCCTTTAGTACTGGCATTAAGGTTAATTCTGTCCAAATACATATGTTGAGAATAGAGTCAAAGCTGTTCCCCAAGGCCAGTTTGGAGGATGAGCACTGGCTGGCAGAAACAACAGATGTCACTCCAAAGCATAAATATCTTTAACATTCCTGCTTTGTCACAAGCAGTATGCTAGCACTTTATGTGAATTACTTTATGTAGCACAAAAATGTTTTTCTTTTGGTGACATTGTCTTTTGTTTACAAGTTTGTGTGTGTGTGTGTGTGTGTGTGTGTGTGTGTAAGCTACTCCTTGGGGAAACCTGGATATGGAGCTTCCATTCTAAGTTGATTTTTGACTTTGTTTTCCAATGGAAGAAAATTTGCTTTGTAACATAATTTTGTGAACAGGTTGCCTACTAGATTATAGAACCAAAGCTAAAATAACAACATTTGATGTAGCTGAATTTAATGGCTGTATGGTTCTTTATTTTACCTTTTCCCACCAATAACTTGGTACTGCAGAGAATGGATGACACCATTCTGAAGGTATGTGTATGCAATACACTATTCAAATACAAGTGAAAATATTTGCCCTGTATTCCACCTGCAGTCTAGCACAGAGCCAATCACCAGGTAAAATAATTGTTGACAGTCATTCAAAATGTAGACATAAACTTTTCTATCCTTTTTTTTTTTTTTTTCGGTACCGGGGATTGAACTCGAGACCTTGCGCTTTCGAGGCAGGCACTGGAACCACTGAGCTAAATCCTCAGCCCGACATAAACTTTTCAGATTCATATGCTGTGTACAGTTTTTCTGACTTCAGCTACTATTTATCAGTAGCTTTAATGGAGTTCATGGAGGATAAAAGTAGGATCTTCTGGAAAGATATAGTACTTCATGACTGACTGAATCATGCATGGGAAAGAGAGAAACAAGCAGCTACTGAGCAAAGCTTCTCTCCCTTGTCATCCTGCCTTTGAAAAACCTGCTTTTCTTCCCACTCCTTCCTATTGGGCTGTGCTGGATAGTTAGGAGGAGGTAGAAGGGACACAATACTTTCTCTGTATCTGTAAAGAATTAACCTGCAGGATAATTATATAGTGACTAAAGGGGAGTTATGTTAGCTAGATTTTAAAAAACCATCAAAAACTTATTAGAAAATGTTATGATCACTTAAAAATAAAATCTGCAGTCAGAGAAGCTTCCTGTTAAAAAAATTATTGTATTTTTTACATTTCTACAGTTTTTTGAAGTTCATATTCTTGAAATTATTCTGATGCCTGTGATGTGGTTGTGATGTAACTTCTGTGAAATGAAGCCCTCTCAGCTCCTGGACACATATTCAATCCAAGAGGTAATCTCTGAGAGAGGTGAAGTTTTCTTTCAGAGCTATAAACTAGTCAAAATTCACAAAAAGGAAGCTTTAAATTTCCACATTGGGAAGGGAGTTGTTAAAGCTGGCTTTTAGAGTGATGAAACTGCAATGTGGTATTCTGAATACATTCTCTGTTACCTCCTTCCCTCCCTCCACTCTTTCTGAGCACTTGCATTTAGAAACTGGTAGAATGTTGTCTGCATTAACATTGCCTCCTTTCTCCATTGATTTCTGTTGTGAATAGGCTTCCTTGAATTCATGGTCATCTGCATCTTTAGGGTTCCCCTAAGGGATATTGGATTTCCTGCTTCAAGGACTAATCAGAACCATTAATCAGCCATGAAAATAAGTACTGGCCTATATAGGCCTGGAGGAAATTAGGGCTGGCTTATTGAAAATTAGAGAGTAGGTATAGAAAAAATGTGTATTTATGAATACTGTGTAGTTCCATAGGGATTTGAAACAGCAAAGGAAAAAGATTTTCAATATTGGTGTTGGTTATGGGTTCGGAGCCTTCTTCCAGAATAAGGTAGAGTTTCCAGGAGGTGCTTACCCTCCTCAGTCTAGGCACAGAGCCCCATGGTACAGCAAGCAGGACCCGGGCTTTGGCTTCAGCAGGAACAGCTAAGAGCCTATGCTTTGTATGCCCTTGACTCTCTGACTTCCATTCTTGCATGTGTAATTAAACAATATACTACGTTATTCTAATGTCTAATCATTTTTCTCAGAAGATTGTTTGTGGAGATTAAATGATGTGGTAGGTATCACAAAATATGGGCTCAAAAATGCTATTCTTGACTTTGTTTTGTTTTCCCTGAAGCAGAACCTGAGCCATACAAATAAGTGTGAGAAATTTATGTGGGAGGCAACCATGATAGGGAAATGAGGGGAATCAAAGCAGGGAGGAAGGGTAGCTAATAAAGCAGAGTAGCTATTAAGCCATATGCTATGGTTTAAATATGTCTCCAAACATTCATGTGTTGAAATCTTAATCCTTAGAGCAATAATGTTGCGAGGTTGTGCTTAAGAAGTGATTAGGCTATCCTGTTTTAATTCTGTTATCTGAGGAATGGTTTAGTTGTTGGGAGAGCAGATCAGTTATAAATGCAAACTTGGCCTTTTCGTGCTCTCTCACACACTCTATTGCCCCGTGATAACCTCTGCTATGTTGTGATGCAACAACAGGGCTCTCACTAGATTGTAGCTCATTGAGTGTGGACTTCCCAGCCTCAACCCAAATTCAAATAAACTTCTGTTCATGATAAATTACCCAGTCTGTAGTATTTTGTTATAGCACCACAAAATAAAGACATCAGCTGTTGCTGTGGACAAGTATTGTTTAATCATGAAAGAAAGTGGGAAATAGTGCAAAGAACCATTGGAATTACTACATTCAAGGGCTGAGGGAACTGGGATGCTATATAAGTTCTGAAAGTTATTTCTTTATTTTTTCTGTATTTTCATATACTTCTAGATTACTGGTTGTGGAAAACATTGATTTTTGTGGGCCACAAAGGAGTCCTCAGCCCTGGAATGCAGACCTAAGAGTTGGAGGACAGCTGGAACACCCTGAAAGTTCTGAGTGAGATGTGTAGGTTATGGATTACCCATACTTTCTGCAGATGGCTATCTTTATCCTGAAGAAATTAGTATGATACTTCTCTAGCCCATTTTATCAGGAAAATCCTTGAATATGTACTTCAACAAAATGAGAATGTAACCAAGAACAAGAAGAAATCATAGAGTGCAGGAAAGCTGTATAGGGGACTCAGGGTTCCAGGAACACAGCTTGTTTGGGAGCAGTCAGTGTAGGTTAAAAATGAAAGAGCAACAAACTTGAGATGAAGGTTTCAGAGTGAAGTCAAAATAGAATACTCAATTAAATGGAGAATTGGCAAAATGAAGAGAATGACAGAGACTAATAGTGGCTAGAAAGAAAAACAATGAGAAATTTCAAGAAAGAAAACTTTATATGAAAGCATAAGTAATTATAGTTCATTACTTGTGTTTTCCAATAAGCAATGTTTCCATAGTCAAATTTCCAACTTTTAAAATTAACATACACAAACAATGCAAAAGACATAATTATGATACCAAAATTCAGTGTAAGTATCACTAGCAAAGGTAGAATTTGGAGGGTAAAGGAAAACTAAATGGAAGGGAAAGGGCATGAATAGTTTCACATTGGCTTCTAAAGTTCAAAGTCAAAATCTGTTGATAAATGTTGGAAAAAAACCCATGAGAATTATAAACAATAAAGACAAAACAGTATATTCTTAATGGAATTTTTGTGAAGCAACATGACTTTGGAACACATTTTAATGACTAGGATAGTGATTATTTTATTTGGTAAAAAAGTGTAGAATAGATTCACAGAATTTTAGCCATATGAGAGTATTAAAGTCAGTTTTTTCACTTTTAGTTATGCCATCCAAACTACAAGGAGTTGAACTATCCTGTCCAAATTTGCATAACCATCTCTTTAATAGGAAAGACAAGACTGGAATTTGCTTGACATTCTCCTTTCTTTCTCT